TTGATTGGAATAGCATATCGGCGATGGAAAGATATCCACGGATATGGCTCTCTGTTTTGATAGAAATGTAAAAACGCCTTGTATAGTGGATCATTCTTGATATACTTATTATTGTAAATAATAGGGTCAAGAGATTTGTGCCTATATTTGTGACTTTCCAATTCACTATCGCCCGTCTCTGTAGCCGACTCGTTGGAAGTTTCACCGCTTTCTGACTCGCTGTCCGGTGACTCTATGTTTGACATTTCGGTTTCTCCAGTGTTCGCCAATTCTATGCTGTCAGACACATCAGAATCGGTACGGTATTCCGTATTGCTGTCAGACATAGATCGACCTTCATATTTTGCATCCAACACATACCGGCGCTGTAATAAGGGAGTTCCCATGCCTGCCTGTTTAGGTTTCGGTCTAAAATTATATGTCTTTTGAGAAACAGCTTGTTTCGAACGAGTACGCTTTTGCACGGGCTCTCTTGGTGTTTTATCAAACAGCTTTCGTTTAGGTCCCGCCATGGGACAGTCGACCCCACTGGTAATGGTGGGCGGTCTTTGCGGTGAACCTACAGTCCTGTATGGCGAAGGGAGTGTTGAGTAGTGTGTAGGAGTGGTCTTCTTATACACCGTTTCGGCCACCATGGGGTTATAGTACTGTCCTTCTTGTGATTTTTGACGTTTCCAGTATGACTGTTTCTCGAGAGACAGTTTTTAAACAGGCAACCTCGCCTCCTCATGGCTAACTCTTCATCGATCTAAAGCAAGACACTCCAGATGACTGTCGTCTACGCATTGGCATATTTCCCAAGGAAAACAACGGTGATGAGTACCAATCAGAGACTGTAAAGTATTTACAAGAGGAGAAACAAAATAACTGATAAAATAGAAGCAGACCAACGCAAGTTGTGGAAAAGAAATGACCTTACCTTGGACGAAAATGTTAAATTGAACGATGAACTGTGTATAAGAAGACCACTCCTACACACTACTCAACACTCCCTTCGCCATACAGGACTGTAGGTTCACCGCAAAGACCGCCCACCATTACCAGTGGGGTCGACCGTCCCATGGCGGGACCTAAACGAAAGCTGTTTGATAAAACACCAAGAGAGCCCGTGCAAAAGCGTACTCGTTCGAAACAAGCTGTTTCTCAAAAGACATATAATTTTAGACCGAAACCTAAACCAAAACAGGCAGGCATGGGAACTCCCTTATTACAGCGCCGGTATGTGTTGGATGCAAAATATGAAGGTCGATCTATGTCTGACAGCAATACGGAATACCGTACCGATTCTGATGTGTCTGACAGCATAGAATTGGCGAACACTGGAGAAACCGAAATGTCAAACATAGAGTCACCGGACAGCGAGTCAGAAAGCGGTGAAACTTCCAACGAGTCGGCTACAGAGACGGGCGATAGTGAATTGGAAAGTCACAAATATAGGCACAAATCTCTTGACCCTATTATTTACAATAATAAGTATATCAAGAATGATCCACTATACAAGGCGTTTTTACATTTCTATCAAAACAGAGAGCAATATCCGTGGATATCTTTCCATCGCCGATATGCTATTCCAATCAAGATACCAGTTCAGAAAAAAAGTACATAATTTATTATCATATGTTTTACAAGTTGAATACTTATCCTTCCACCTCCTGAATATTGATATTTATACATAACCCCCAGTCTAAATGCGTAGCGTATATTCTAATGATAGAGTGGTGTTTGTAAACCCTTCTGTAAATAAAACTACCTTGTCAATAAACAAATATCGTCATTCATTATTGTTAAATCAGCAGGGACACCCACGTGCGCCCTTTACTGTTTGGTTTGAAAACCATTTAGATACAGAAATATTCGATACAGCTGTTGAGTACAAAGGGCACCTGAGCGATCAAATACGGACTTCGTCCACTGCGTGCCGTAGCGTAAATGTTTGTATACCTGCTTACTGAAACAAACTTCAGTGCAAGCACACTTTTACCTATAAGATGAGACGCGGCTGAAATCCAAACAGACAAGATAAGGTTTTCAAAAACAAAGAAAATGATGAAATAAATTAATGTAAATACACAAGAAAAAATAAATAAGACTTTCAAAAGGAAACAATTTAAAAAAACATTGGTAGCCATAGTTACCCCTCCCCTAGTGTTTGATCGATGTATTAACACAGGTTAAGCAGTACCTAAAACACCCTGTACATTAAATGCTATTGATATATTCTCAGTCCAGGTATATGAAATCAATTTATTGCATGGCTGGCACAGACCGCTTAGGTCTGATGAACGTGTACAGTATAACAAATACTATTCATATGTAGCCAGTACTAGCATATGAAATCAATTTATTGCATGGCTGGCGCAGACCGCTTGGGTGCACTGCGCATACGTACAATAATATTCATATATTACCGGTATGTAAAGTGCAGATACCTAGGCGTCTATGATTTTTATATTAAAAAACTTTTCACAGTTCCGGTATATTCTAAAACTCCCTCTGTGTCTTATTGCAATGTTTCCCAAAATATTCTAGAACTTTTCTTAGCGAACATATCACAGGTCAGCTCGGAGACATCAGTAATAACAAAATCAATTTACTGCATGGCCGGCGCAGACCGCTTGTGTGCACTGCGCATACGTTACAATAATATTCATATGTTACCGGTATGTGAAGTGCAGATACCTAGGCGTCTATGATTTTTATATTTCAAAAAAACTTTTCACAGTTCCGGTATATTCTAACATTCCTTCTGTGTCTTATTGCAATGTTTCCCAAAATATTCTAGAACCTTCCTTTGTAAGCATATCACGGGTCAGCTAGGAGACATCAGAAATGACAAAATCAATTTTCTGCATGGTTGGCCCAGACCGCTTAGATGCATTGTATTTTCAAGAGGTCTCTAGCTCATGCAAGCTTTAACGCATTCAGCTGTATATTCACAAACACGAGATGGGTGAGGGCGCACCAAACGCATTCTTCTGCGCATTTCTAGAAAAAAGGGTTCCAAATTGCCCTTTCAATAAAATAAATAATCAAAAACTTTTTCCAATAACTCCTGAAATTAAATATAGCTAAAAATAACCATACAAACCCCTCCTTTACGTTTCTTTGCTCGCTATACAACTACATAAGAAATACCTCCTCCTTTACGGTTCCTTGCTCACTATACAATTATATTTATCCTTAAAAAAAACTCCTACTAGGTTTTATTGAATCATCATTAGAATTTGCTCGTCCCTCGTTTACACTAAAATTATTGTCATTAAAATTCGTTTGCAAAGCCTCCTTTCTGCTTCAGGGGTGACTAAGATATTGTATTAAAATTATACTGCCCCTTAAAAGGTTCAAGGTTCACTAAAAAAATTACATTAAAAGTATATAGCCCCGTTCCAAAATGCAGGTCGAAAACGACTTACTTATACTACTATTATCAATGCTATATGGTCTAACTACCGTTCTTCATTAGATAGAAAATTTAATTTATACATAAATTGTTGTATTTTAACTTCTAATAATAATATACTTCAATCATGAAAAAGACAAAAAATAGGTGGAAAACATTGAAGGTTAATTCAAATCATTTTTTGAATTTTGAAACCGACTTCTCGACAATATACGTTTAATTGCTTTAATTGCTGCAGACGTATATGCTTCAGGGACTCCTGCAGTCTGACCAGTCCTAACGAATAATATCCATAGCTGAATATTTATCTTATTTTCATCACATCAAAGCGGTATTTCTCTTTCGCAGGTTTCTATTTAATATTGAGTCAAATAGACTGCAAAACCAATGTGTATTAAATTATTTAAAATGGTTTATTTTATTCGGTCACGGCAGACTAGTGTATTGTACACATGGATCAGCTTTTGATGTGATCTAAACCACTTGAGGCGACCATAATCTCGAGCATCACATCTATTGTCACCAAAGTTACTAAATAAGTCACGGAATACCGTCACAGACA